CAAAGTGAATCCGAAACTTACATTTTTAACCCTTGACTACTAAAACTGTGACAATTACTCCTTGAATCCAACACCATGCTATATGATTATTGATTTTAGGGCTATTATACAATCATTAATTTATTTATTTAATAAACGGGGTGTTACACATTGGGTGTGGCTTCACCTTCATAGATATCTATTATGACATTAGTTGTTTCAACGGTATATCTTTTGTTAGCATCTGATAGTATTATATTTATTACATTTAAAAGTTAACATACTTTATGATGGAGATTAGTTCCCATAGTCATAATAAGCCCGATAATATTACTATAAATAACAGTGTCCTTTTGGGTTACATGCAAGAACAAAATGAAAGAGATCTGAAAATATATTTATTTGACAGACTTGTTTTGTTTATTAATTAATAGGAAATAAATGGGATATAAAATATTCCAAAATGATTTGAATTCATTAGATAATTATTATTTTATTTGGAAATTATTTCTAGGGTTTCACATCACCTCCATATAAATAGAGGGCTCAAAATTGGTTTTGATACTAATGAAAATACCTCTCAGTTGTCAAAGGTAACAAGCAGATACCTTTGGTAAAGGTACAACGACAACATCAGAAGGGATTCGGGTGGACTTGTGAGCCGGAGGCCGAGATGCGGGAGCATTATCCAAATCTGTTTGCTATAGCAGACTTCGAGGATGAAGTATAGTTCAAGTGGGGAGAGTTGTAACATTCTGGATTTCAGGTATTTTTCGAATCCTTCCTTGGTATTGTAATAAGTCAATTTTGGCCCCTAATATTGGTTTGGACCTAGCCCTAGGGGCAGATTGGTAATTTTTAGGAAGTTAAGTAGTACGTTAGGCGTACATATGGGAACGCCACACGTATTAGGGCACACCCTAGTATGTTGGGCTTACACTCATGTACGTCGGGTGTACGCGTGTCCGAATAAGACCCTAATTTTTAGGGTTTGTGGGGGTGTTTAAGCATTATTATGGGACATCGTGGCCCACTATTTCAACCTCCAAACCTCCCTTAGTCGTCCTGAGAGAAACCTAGCCTCATAGTTAGCATTTTGAGCTTATAAGTGTGTTTTGTGTGCCTTAAAGGAGAAGGTTGTGCATCAAGGAGTCAACGAGGGAAGATTGGCTTGTAAATATTGGTTCATCATCTGTTTTGGGAGCTCCAAAAGGTACAAAGTTGCTACCTTTGTGTCTATCTTTTCTAGATCTTTCTTTGGCAGCTTATTTGCATTCTTTTGTCCCATAAAGTCCCATTATTATGCATGATTCGTTTTGGACGTTTTGAGTTGTCCTTTCAGACCCTATGAAGGGTTCTAAGTGATAAAAATGAAGTCCCAATGGCTAGAAATGTGCAATTCGTAGAAAGGTCTTAATGGATTAAGACCATGTATTAAGGTCTTTTTGGACGTCTAATCTTAAAGTCTGAGCCTTTATGGTTCTGAGATACATTTGGTCAATGGATCTGGAATTTGGGCTTAAGTGATTAAGCCATTAAACACTTATTGGAGTTTTGAATACAATAAGGGTACGCCTTCGTAGAGGGCAGTATACCCCGCGTACGCTGTCAACGCCCCGTTTTCAGTCAATGCAACGCTGGCGTACTCCTTGCATAACTTTGGGGGTATGCCTGGCGTACGCCTTCTGTTGGAGTTTTGCGATTTGGGCTTCAAATTTGAGTTATCTTTGGGTCAGTTTGGCTTGGGCCCTTGATGGACTTTATGAATAGAAGTGTCTTAGGCCAATGATGGAAATGGACCTTATGATGAGTCCCAATTAAAGAGTTGGGCCCAATGTGGAAAATTAGGCCAATTGTAGGCCTTGTATATTTGGACCTTTGGATAAAGGATTTGGAGTTGGGCCTTTGCCCAAATTAGGGAAATGGTAAAATGGACTATTACCCTATGTTTGAGCTCTTAGCAAAGATTGATATTCCAACTGTTGATTAGTGTTCGTTTATTATGATAGTTCAGGATATTTGGTGAGTCGGCATTGTGAGGTGAGTTTTCCTCACTATACTTAGGGGTCGAAGGTACCAAGGCCGACCCATTGGATTGATATCCTAATAGTTATTGATATGTTGAGTATGGGTTAGATATGCATGCTATTTTGATATGCTAGTCTGGTAGATCTGTAGGGCTACCTGTGATACTATCTGATTATTTGTATGTGTATTTATCTGTCACATATCGACATGTTGTGTGGGTTGGGTTGAGGTTGTACTGCTCCGTGCTGTAGCCAACAAACCATGGAGTATACCAGATATGAGCTGAGGGCCAGGGAGGGCATGCCAGACTCATACTGAGGACTCATGAGCCATTCCATATATGAGTTGAGGGTCGAGCAGAGCATGCCAGACTCGTATTGTGGGCTAATATTTTGTATTCCAGTCCAAAGGCTGAAGGAGCAAGCTAATCATAAGTTATGGGCCCAAGGGGCAAGCCAAACTTATGTTGTGAGCTCGGGAGCAAGCCAGACATAAGCTGTGGGCCTAAGGGGCAAGCCAGACTTATGTTGTAGGCTCGGGAGTAATCCAGACATGAGCTGTGGGCCCGATAGGCAAGCGAAACTCATGTTGTGGGCTTGGGGGTAACCCACTCTGCAAAGTTGTGGACCCATTACATGCTGTTATTATGTGTATTATTTGTGATGTATCAGTATTTTAGGGGAACTCACTAAGCTTCTGGCTTGCAGTTGTGGATTTTGTTTCAGGTACATCGGATAATCGCGAGAAAGCAAATGCTTGATCGTGCACCTTCTCATATTTTATGTTATGATTTCTGGGATTTCTATGATGTTAAACTCTTTTGAAAACAATCTGTAAACAATGGATGATTTTAGAATGTTTGAAAAATTTAAATTTTCATGAATTTTATGGATGTTACAAATTAATTACATAATAATTATATAACTAGCCAAGCCTAATATTACATTCACTGTTACATATTTGTACGTTGTTTTCACACTTCATTCTAATTATTGCATATATACTCTAAGGTACTGTTTGCTTTTTCTGAGAAAAAATGTATATAGTCTGCGGACCACATCTGTAGAGCTTTGTATTAGAAGAGGTGGACTAAACGTTTGCAATCTGAAAAAAAAAGACTGTTTGTTTTTTTAACATCCGCAGGCTACTAAAATAAACTAAAATCTAAATAAACTGATTTTTTTAAACTTCAAAGTGATTATTTAATATTTTTATAACTTTCTTATAAATAATTAACAAATCTAGATCAAATTTTATATATTATTGTATAAAAATTAAAAAGTGAAAATAAAACGGTACGGATTAACGTGATAAAAATGAATAACTTTGGTCAAAAGTTATACCTAAATATTGTAATAAGGAATTAAAGAATTTGATACATAAATGGATGAAAATAAACTTTGATTTTTTTTCAATTAAATCTATTAAAAACGTATCATAAGTATTTTATCAAGAAATTGACGATATTATATTAAATAATATTCTATAAAACTTGACACAAAAAATATTAAAAAATATTATGATTTTTTTTTGTTTATATTTATATAAACAACTTCAACGACCATTATTATATTAAATCTTTATTTACAAATTTGTCAAAATATCATGTTTGTGTCATCGATTTATTTATTTATTTACATAACTACAATATATTTTATTTATTTATTTTAGATAACTACAACATCTTTCCGTAGGTTTGAATGTATTCTTTGGTGAAGGTATAAAACAATGCTTTTACAACTTGTATGAAACATAAATTACCATGTATCTCTTTGATGACATCATTTTTTTTTCCCATAAAGATTTTATAGTTTAAGCCCTTACTTATGGAGAGAGATTCTAATGGTATAATGAAAAACTTTTTGCCATGTCTTTTTCTAATTCATTTGGACATATGATATTTTTGTAGAATTTTTAAATTTTCTATTTACTATTTGTCATTTAATTATATTTTTCATTTTATTAAATTAAAATTTCATATTTAATATGTATGGTAATATATAAGTAAGATATTTATTAGAAAAAATTTATAAATGTAATATATTCAATATATTAAAGTCTTATTAATTTTAATAATTTAAAATTTTTCTCATTTTTCTTTTAAATTCAAAGTTTTCAAATTGCTAAAATTTCATATTTAATTTTTTAAAAATAAAACCCTATAACACATGAGTGTAACACCTAGTAGTCTAGGGCTGTAAACGAACCAAACGAACACAAACAAGGTCTTGTTCATGTTCGTTCGTTTAAGTTAGCCGAACAACAAACGAATACGAACGGATAAACGAACGAGATTTTCTTGTTCATGTTCGTTCGTTTAACAAATTACTTTGTTCATATTCGTTCATTTATGTTTGTGAACATGCTAAACGAACATAATCGAACAAACATAAACGAACAAAGATAAAAAAAAAAATACAATTGAACATATATGAACATAAACGAACATATAACATAGCAATATAATAAAAAATAATTGAATATAGATGAATATAAATAAACTTAAACGAACGAACATAAACGAACGTTCACAAACATAAATGAACGAACGAGACTATCGTTCATGTTCGTTCATTTAACTAAACGAACGATAATTTTTGTTCATGTTCGTTCATTTATTAAATAAACGAACATAAACGAACTTCCCGCCGAACAGTTCACGAACGGTTCGTCGAACGTTCAGTTCGTTTACAACCCTACCTAATACAAAATAAAACAAGAAAAAATATAAAAAAAAAAAAACAAGTAAAAACTACAAAATTTCCCCTGATCGTGTGAAGTCGGTTGCAAATGAAGGACTTTAACACCGTTTTCGCTTATGTTTGTCAACGAAGAAACTCGTTTGGTATGTAAGCTTACTTAAAGGACTGCCTTTTAGTTTTCAAAGATTAAGGTACTTAAATTGTTAACATATGATATGTGAAGGGATGATTCATGTAACTTTCTGTAAAACTAAAAAACACACCGACCAAAATAGGTTTCCATCAAATTGTACACTTTCATCTCCTCTCCCCAAATCTTAAAACAAAAAATCAACTCTCCTTCGCCCTCGCCCTGACTAGAGCGGTTGTAGGGCTTCTGTGACGTCTTTTTATCTACCACCGGCGCAAATCACCATCGCCATCCGCCGTATTACATCGTCGGAGGTAACTTATTCCATCTTATACTCTGTCAACTTGATCGTGTTTCCCGATCAAATTTCACAACATTTGAAGCCCTAATCATGGACAGGACTCACTGATTGATCTATATATCGTGTGCATTTATTAAGTATATTTTATCAATTTTCGTCTCGATCACAGTGTTTTTATTCATTCTCAGATAGGCTGAGAGGGCGTTCGAAGGTTTGATTTTTCTATTCGCGTTCACTGTGAGATCTGCTGAACAGAGCCTGCGTGTGTACACACCTGATATTTGTGGAGGAGAGAGAAACCTAGGGCTAGGGTTTTGATGCGTTGTTGCGGATTGAGAACAAGGTTTGCGGGTTGGATTCTTCGATTATGGCCAACAACCATGGCGGTTCTGGATCCAAGTTTGTGTCTGTAAATTTGAATAAGTTATATGGGCAGCCTTCTCATCATAATTATCCACCTCATAGTGGCTCTTATGGACCGGGTGTTGGGACAAACCGTGCCCGACCTGGTGGGCATGCTAGTACCGGTGGTGGGATGGTTGTTCTATCAAGAAACCGTCCTCTGCAGAAGGCTGTCCCGAAGTTATCTGTTCCACCCCCCTTGAACTTGCCTTCACTGAGAAAAGAATATGAGAAAATTGATTCATCAGGGGCAGGTGGAGGGGCGGCTGGTGGTGCTGGTTCAGGGAGTGGTTCAAGACCAACTTCTTCAGGTATGGGCTGGACAAAACCTGGAAATGTTGCTTTGCAGGAGAAGGAAGTTGGTGGTGATACTCTGGTTTCAGAGAGTGTGAATTATACTGAAGGTGCAGCAGCTACAAAGGGAAGCGGCACTTATATGCCTCCTTCAGCTAGGTTTGGTGGTGGACTTGGCCATGGAGATACATCATCAGCTCATCATCCAAACATGCCTCCTCTAGAGAAAGCTATGGTGTTGAGAGGAGAAGATTTTCCATCTTTACGGGCTGCTTTGCCTTCCTCATCAGGACCTGCACAAAAACAGAAGGAAGGATCTTTCCAGAAGCTGAAACAATTAGTTAGTGAGGAGTCATCCAATGATCTAAGAAACAATTCTCGTTTCAGTTCACCTGCTCATATCCAATCTTCCCATCGCATTGCAAATGGCATGAATGAAAATGGTGGGCAGAGTCCAAGATCAAACAGTGCACGCCCGGATCATGCTCAGAAGCAAGAGGACCCTCTACCACTTATACGGTTGAATCCAAGGTCTGATTGGGCTGATGATGAGCGAGATACAGGTTATGGGTTTGCAGGAAGGAGTGGCAGAGATCAGGAGTTTCCCAAAAGTGAAGCATATTGGGATAAAGATTTTGATGTGCCTAGGAGCAGCATTTTGCCACATAAGCCACCTAATAATCTGTCCGAGAGGCGTGGCCAGCACATGGGTAACATAGCAAAGGGTCCCACTTCTGAGGTCCTTAAACCTGATCCTTACAGGAGAGAGACAAATATGCATAGTAGGGATGACAGGGAAAGCAATTCTTGGAGGAGTTCTTCTATTCATGAAGATAGATCTACTGTTCCACAAGTTATTAGTAACAGAAACAATGTCACTGTGTCGGATAGTTATAACAACAGTAAATACATGTCAGCTTTGGGAGACAATGCTCACCATGGTGTGGTTTCAGGAAACTATGTGAGAAGGGATACAGGGCAAGGGAGACAAGGGGGACAACGCCACTGGAATAACTCTGTAGAATCTCCTAGATACCAGAATGCTGCAGGGTCGAATTATGGTAGGGAGAAGTCTTCTTTTTCAAAGAGCGAGCGAAATTACCTAGATGACCCTTATCAAAAAGACTTCAGTTCCAGTGTTTATGATGAAAGAGACCCATTTACTGGAAACCTTGTTGGAGTTGTTAAAAGAAAGAAGGAGGTGATTAAACAGACAGATTTCCATGATCCTGTTAGGGAGTCTTTCGAGGCTGAACTTGAAAGAGTTCAAAAGATGCAAGAGATGGAACGACAGAGGGTTGTTGAAGAACAAGAAAGAGCTTTAGAGCAAGCACGAAGAGAAGATGAAGAGAAACGAAGGGTAATCATAGAGGAAGAAGAAAGGAGAAGAAGAATGGAAGAAGAAGCTCGTGAAGCTGCATGGAGAGCAGAACAAGAGAGGTTAGAAGCCATTCAGAAAGCTGAAGAGCAAAGGGTTGTTCGTGAAGAAGAGAAAAGAAGGATGCTTCTTGAGGAAGAGAGAAGGAAACAAGCTGCCAAACAGAAGCTTCTAGAATTGGAAGCTAAAATCGCAAAGAGGGAAGCTGAGGTTGGAAAGAGTGGTGGAGATGATGAAGTTCCAGCTGGTGGAAAAGACAGTGATGCATCTATGGATTCAGATCTTGATAACTGGGAAGTTAGTCAGAGAATGGTGGAGAGAATTACAACTTCAGCAAGCTCTGATTCATCTGCAATAGACAGACCCTTTGACAGGCCTCAGTTTTCTAGAGAAGTTTCATCTAGTTTTGTGGAAAGAGGAAAGCCTGTTAATGCATGGAAACGTGATGCATTTGAAGTTGGAAGCAACTCATCTTTCTTACTCAATGATCAAGAAAATGGTCATCATAGTCCCAGGCGAGAAGCACCCATTGGTGGGAGATCTTTTCCCAGAAAAGACTTTTATTCAGGAGGTGGATACATGTCATCAAGGTCTCCTTTCAGAGGAGGAATTCAAGATCCTGATACAGATGGATTCCCTCATGATCACAGATGGAATTCTTTCGGGGATGGAGATTCTTATGGAAGAACCAGAGATATCGAGTCAGAGTTTTATGACAATGTTGGTGAAGTCTGGGGACATGGACAGGGGCATTCTCGTGGAAATAGGTTGTATATGAATAATTCAGAGTCAGATAAGCTTTATCCATATGGAAGGTCAAGATATTCCATGAAGCAGCCTCGTGTTCTTCCCCCTCCATCTTTATCATCTATTCCTAAATCTTCAGTGAGAGGGGAGAATGAACTTTCTGCTCCTTCAAGTTCTCTGGAATCAACTGCAAGAACAGGGGGGAATTATGGTGGTGTTCAAGACAAGCTTGAACAATCTGATCTTGTTGATGTTCAACAAGAAATCATGGCACAGAAGTTAGACAAGAACGACACACTAAGATGTGACTCACAATCATCTCTTTCAGTCTCAAGTCCCCCTAGCTCCCCAACACATCTATCTCATGATGAGCTGGATGATTCCTCTGTTATACCTACTGGAGGTGATGGAAATGAGACGCCTGAACATGATGTGAATGATGAATCTGGAGAGGTTAGAGAAGTGACTACAATGGCAGCAGGTGATGATGATGAGGAATGGAGTCTTGAGAATCAAGATGAGATGCAGGTACAAGAAGAGTATGATGAAGATGATGATGGGTATGGTGAAGAAGATGAAGTTCATGAAGGAAACGATGAGAATATAAACCTGACACAGGAATTTCAGCATATGGGTCTTGAAGAGAAAAGCACAAATAATGTGATGGAAAATTTAGTCTTGGGATTCAATGAAGGTGTTGAAGTTAGAATCCCAGGTGATGAAACGGATGTGAATACAACTGAGACACCAGAAGAAAAACAAGATGCAGTTGATTCAGTCAATTCAGTGATTAACGAATCAGTTGTTCAGCCTCAAAATGCCACATCAGATTCTTCTACCACTACACATGCATTACCTTCTGTACCAATTCAGACAGATTTACCAGTCAAACTCCAGTTTGGGTTGTTTTCTGGGCCTTCTTTAATACCATCTCCTGTTCCAGCCATACAAATTGGATCCATACAGATGCCTCTTCATCTTCATCCACCTGTTGGTTCATCAATGGGCCACCTACACCACCAATCACAACCTCCGCTTTTTCAATTTGGTCAACTAAGATACACATCTCCTATTTCACAGGGAATTCTTCCAATAACTTCACAATCAAACATTCACCAAACCCATTTCAACTTGAATCAGACTTCAAATTCCGGAACTTTACCCAACCAGTTCTCTCAAGAAACCATGAAAAAAGACAATCATGAGAATTGGTCAAGGGGTTTGACTGGAATTGCTTCCAAACCAGTTACACAAACCGAGGAGAAGGTACATGGCACTCCTGATAATAACAAACCTTCTCAAAAAGATGTTCCCTTGTCAAAGGCTCCAGGTCCTAACAAGGGTAAAAGACCAACATACCCTCCGAGAAATTCCGGGTCAAGATCTTTTCATGGATACGATTCATCTCCCGCTAACGAATACCGGAAAAACCGACGCCCAATTCAGCGAACCGAGTTTCGAGTCCGTGAAAATTCCGATAGAAAACAGACACCTGGCATTGGTTCTTCTAATTTTGATGACAAGTTCAAACATATGGGAGCTTCTAGAAGCGGGTATAGGCGTCATATGGTGCCTGTTAAGTCATTGAAGCGGGTTGTACCTGATGGGTCGGGTTCTCATGAGATGAAAGAAACTGCAACTGCAAGATTAACACCACCCAAGACCCAGTCAACTGAAGGTGGCAACTTAAAGAGGAACATGAACATTCTCGAAGAAGAGGTTGATGGATCTGATGCACCATTGCAAAGCGGTGTTGTGCGTGTGTTCAAGCAACCAGGGATCGAATGTCCAAGTGATGAAGATGACTTCATTGAGGTCAGATCAAAACGACAGATGTTGAATGATCGACGTGAACAGAGAGAAAAAGAAATCAAGGCAAAATCACGTGTCGCAAAGGTTTTTACTTTTAATTTATTATACATTTAGTTTTGTTCTCTTTATGTTTAGTTTTAGTGTTTGACAATTAACATTTAAAAAAAAAAAATTCATCAGCAACCACGAAAGGCTAGTCCTTCTGTTCAAGCTCCAAATAAAATCTCTGTTTCATTGGTTGGTGAATCATCAAACAAGGAACCTTCGGCTGACTTTTCAACAGTTTCTTCTCAATCTCAACCATTGGCTCCAATTGGCACTCCTGCTGTGGATACTAACAAGTATATTTTCTTATATCAAAAATGGAAAATAGTGTTTAAATTATTTGTTATAATAAATTTAGTTAACCATATACATTACTTTATAGGACTCCACAAAGAGGATCTGGTATTGTGGAAGATAGTAGTTCAAATCGCATGTTTGAGGCTGAAAATAAGGCTGTTGATGATGTTCAAACATCTTTGGGTGACTGGGGTAATGCAAGAACGGATCCGCAGGTGAAAAGTTTTTAATTTTTTTAATTTTTTAAATTTTTATTTTCATGTGAAATGTTGAACTAATTTTAGTACAACATACAGGTTATTCCATTGACTCAAACTCAACTTGATGAGGCTATGAAGCCTGCAAGGTTCAATACAACACATGTAACATCTATAGGCGATCATACCAATACCAATACCAATACCAATACTAGTGAACCCATTTTACCATCCTCATCAATCTTGACAAAAGGAAAATCAATTTCATCATCTTCAAGCCCAATTAACTCTCTGCTTGCTGGTGAAAAAATTCAGTTTGGTAAGCTTATTTTTTATTTTAAATTTTTAAACATTATATTATATCTCAAATTAATAAAGCTAAGCTATAATTAACAGGGGCAGTTACCTCACCAACAATACTCCCTCCTAGTAGCCGTGTTGTGTCACATGTGATTGGGGCTCCAGGGTCTTTTCGTCCTGACATGACTCAAAACATTTCAAAAACTGAAAATATATTCTTTAAAAAAGAAGATTCTGAGGCTGAAGTTGAAGCTGTTGCTGTTGCTGCCATTGATAGAGATGAGATCGTTGGCAATGGGGTGGGACCCGAAACCGGACCCGTCTCAGTTTCAAGTGGTAATGCCGAGTTTGTTGTTTTTATTTATTTTGTTATTTTAGTTATTAATTTAAAATGTGGTTTGCAGATCAACAATCTGGAAGCCAATCTAAACCTGAAGAATCTCTTAGTGTATCACTTCCTGCTGATCTCTCAGTTGAAACTCCACCAATATCATCTCTATGGCCACCATTGCCTAGTCCTCAAAGCTCATCAACCGCCCAAATGCTTTCTCATTTCCATGGTCCCACACCTTCTCACTTTCCATTCTACGAGATGAACCATCATCATCCTCCTCCACATCATCCTCATCCCATGATGACTAGTCCTGTTTTCGCCTTCGGCCCACATGACGAATCCGGTGGGACCCAACCCCAATCCCAAAAAACTACAAATTCCGGATCAAATCCAAGACACATGCTGCCACCCTGGCAAAACCATTCTGGAATGGACTCGTTTTACGGACCACCAGCTGGATTCACGGGTCCCTTCATCGGTTCTCCAGGCGTGCAAGCCCCACCACATATGGTGGTGTACAACCATTACGCTCCGGTCGGGCAGTTTGGGCAGGTCGGGTTGAGCTTTATGGGTGCCACGTATATTCCATCTGGGAAACAACCAGACTGGAAGCATGATCCGACAACATCTTCTGTTTCTGTTTCTAGAGGTGAAGAAGACATGATGGTTTCTGGACAACGACATCTTGCCCCTGGCTCTCCTTTATTGTCCATGGGCTCCCCTTTGACAATGTTTGATGTCCCTCCATTTCAGGTAAAATTTTATTCATCTTGAATCATTTTTCAAAATTTATATTCATTGTTCAATTATTTTTATGTTTCGAAGTGACAAAATTCGATTAATTATGTAAAAAACAGGCTGCACCAGATATGCCGCGGTGGTCCCACGTACCTCATGCAGTTCCAATGTCACTACCGTTGCAACAACAGCCACCGGAAGCTATGACTGGACCTTCACAGTTCAGCAGCCACGTAGGACATCCTGTTGACCAGTCAATGTTTCCTCCCAATAGATTTTCGGAACCTCAAACCTCAACTCCATCGTTCCCTGATGAACTTGGGTTGGTGGTGGACTCATCTGGGCCGTCCATTTCCACCACATCTGCTGCTCCGGTGACCGGAACCACTACAAAGACTGTTGATGTAGGTGGTGGGGGTGGGGGTGGTGAGACTACAAATGCTTTCAAGAATCAACACCACCACCACCAACAGGGTAATAAGAATCTGTCTTCTTCTCAACAGTATAATAACAATAATCATCATCATCATCATCATGGTTATGGGTATCAAAGAGGAGGAGGAGGAGGAGGGGTGTCTCCTAAAAACAAATCAATGGGGGGACCGGGGCCAGGACCTGGACCACAGTGGTCCCCCCATCGTAGGACTGGTACCTTCCATGGAAGGTACCAGTCCATGGGGCCGGAGAAAAGCTTTCCGCCTTCAACAAAAGTGAAACAGATTTATGTGGCTAAACAGCCGGTGCCGGCTGCTTCGGGTGGGTCGTCTTCGACAGTTGGATGAGAATATGTTTTGAGGATGTTGATTGGAGGTTTTTTTTTTTTTGTGAGAGGAGTTTGATTGATAGATAAGTTGTTGGGTTTATGTAGTAGAAGTTGGTAGTACAACCACTATTGGTGTTCTTAAAAGTTGGAAAGCTAGGAAGAATTGGGGGTTTGGGTTTGGGTTTTGGTTTTTGGTTATTATTGTGGTGTAAAATCGGAACCTTGATATAGATAGTTGTTTGTGGGCGTTTGATGTATTGGAATTATGTTGAAGATCATTGAAATAAAACCTCCTTTTCTCATCCTGTTTGTTATTAGAAAGTAAAGATGATATGATTTAAGTACATTGCTTTCAGTTGCATCTAATATAGCTTTAATTTAGTTACTTGTAATGGTTTTTATGTACTTAGATGCAATCTGCAAGTATGTATGTATATAAAATGAAGAAATAGCAATATACTTTTATAGATGCAATAAATAGCAATAAATGCAAAAAACAACAGTATAGTTTATGTACTGAGATGGTTATAAGTGCATGAAGTAACAATATATTTTCATCTATTTCTGATTGCCACCTGTAGAATTTCCCCTTCAGTTTCAATGGGACCCTCCACTTTAACCATCTCGCCTCTATATTGTAGGCAACATCTCCTTCCTTATGAGGATCATTGCCCTCAAGTACTTTAGTACTACTTCTAAGTTCTAACACCAATTACACTAAACTAAATCCTGGCAACTTCCTCAAATTCTTTGCTTCTATACAAGACCTAATTTTATTACCTTCACTCCACCTCCCACTTCCTGCATACACATTATAAAGCATCACATACACTCCCGAATTCTCTGGATCCCTTTCAAGAATCAATCTCCCTATTTCCTCCCCAGTTTCAATCTCTCCATGATTCAAACAAGAACCCAATAAAGACTCCAACATGCTTATAGAAGCCTCAAATGGCAAACTCCTCACAACATCATAAGCCTTTTTCACTTCTCCTGTTCTACCCAACAAATCCACCATACAACCATAGTGATCCATCCGTGGTGAAATTTCATCATCTTTTAGCATCGATTTAAACACCATCCATCCTTCATCAACTAATCCAGCATGACTACAAGCAGACAGGATATTAATGTATGTCGCTTCATCAGGTTTGAAACCCGAATCTCTCATTTGTGTGAATAAAGCAAATGCAGCTTCACCATTACCATGTAACCCGTATCCATGAATCAAGGTATTCCAAGAGATGATATCTCTAACAAGCATTTCATCAAACACCTTCTCTGCATACGATATGTTCCCAGATTTAGCATGCAAGTCAATAAACGCATTGCTTACAGCTACATACTTGTCGATTCCCTTTTTTAAAACATAACCCATTACACAGTTTGTAAGGTTGGTATGGTTTATCTGAGCACAAGCTGAAGTTAAGCTCAAAATAGTTATATAATTAGGTTGTATTTTCACTCGAAGCAAACTGGAGAACAACGAGACAACCATCATGGCATGATTTGATTCCACATGAGCAGCTAAAATCGCATTCCAGATTGAAATATCCCCTTTTTCCCCCATTTGAAACAAAAAGTTACATGATCTTACATCACCAAATTGACCATATACAGATATGAGAGAAGCCATGAACAACGTTTCAAGCATGACACTCCATCTCCTAGTTGCATAAGCATGAATGGACTTCACTTGCATACATGTATAACACATTGGCAATGAATTTAATAAGGTTACCTGATTAGGGTTTTGCCCATCCTTCATCATTCCAGCAAACATCAAAATCCCCTCTTTATGTACCATGTGAAGATGATAACCAGTTATCAAACCATTCCATGAAATCACATCCTTATTGGGTATCTCATCAAAGATCAACTTTCCTGTATCGAGTTCTCCACAGTTCATGTACATGCTGATAAGTGCATTGGCTAAAGAAACATCAGATGCATAACCAAGTTTTATACCACAGCCATGAACAGCCATACCTTGAACCAAATTTTCAAGATTCTTGAAACAAGGGAGTACACTTATCAAGGTGACTAAATCAAATCTCACACCTTTTTTCTGCATTTGGTGAAGAAGGAGAATTGCATTTTCATCTTCTCCATTGTGTACACATCCGGATATCAGTGTATTCCATGAAACGTTATCTCTTACATCCATTCTTTCAAATACACAAAAGGAATAGCTCATTTTGTGACAATCAGTGTAAAAAGCAAGTAGTGTGTTGGATAAGTTGAGATTTGAATCAATCCCACTTTTAAGACTAAAAGCATGAGCAGATTGACCTAAACGAGTAGCTTCCAGTCTAGAACAAGCAGAAAGAATGTTTATTATAGAGACTGCATCTGGATGAACACCATCAGTCTGCATCTCACAAAATGCAGCAAAACTCATATTCCAACACTCATTATAAACATACCCAGATACCATAGCATTCCATGACAAAAGGTTTCTGTAGTTCATGTGATCGAAGAGGAATTTAGCTGAATTCAGATGACCAAACTTTGCATACATTGACAAAATGGTGGTGGCAATTGCTGGTTGGTTTTGTAACCCTAATTTGATAACATATGCATGAAGAGACTCACCATAATCAGTCCCAGAAGATGGGATTATAGACACGAAAGTGACCATATCAGGTGTGATATGATCACGAGTCATTTCTATGAATAGCTCAATTGCATCATGAGATTTCTGGTTTTGTGTGTAGGCAGAGATCATGGCATTCCACATGGTAACATTCTTTTTTGATGCATAATCAAATATGCCTCTAGCAATGGATAAATCTTGATTGTTTCCATACATTGAAATGAAAGCAGGAATCAAGAAATCATGTGTAAAGTAGCCACATTTCAAAACGTGTCCGTGGAGTGACTTTCCTATCCTTAAATCATCCAAACGAGAGCACACTGGAATTAAGCTAGCGAAAGTGCTCACATTAGGGTTCAAATCGGTAAGTCTGATCCGGTTAAAGAGATGAATAACTTCGTGATTAAGTCCATGAAAAGAATACCCAGAAAGCAATGCGTTCCAAGAGACCAAATCTGGTTGAGTAATTTCGTCATGCAACTTGCGGGCAATACTGATATCACCATTTTTTGCGTAAAAATCCACTAAAGCCGTCTGCACAACTACATTTTGATCGAAACCAGTTCTCAAAATAACGCAGTGAATCTCCTTACCATTTCGAACAGCGTTTACGGCCGAACAAGCCTTGAGGACGAAGGGGAAGGTGAAATTATCCGATGGGCAGCTAGAAGACTGGCAAAATTTATACACAGAAAGAACATTTTGGTACAATTTATGATCATTTAAGCACCTGATGGTCAAATTCTGCAAGAACAAGGTCGGGTTGATTCTGGAGAGGGTTGATAGAGCTGATTGGGGATCATCCAGATCAAAGCATCGTGTAAGAAAATTTCCCACAACTACATCTTGTTTAAAGAAACCATGGACGATAAGGTGAGATTTCAAAAGCTTCAAGTGGGTAAGTTGTGTGCAGGCGGCAAAAAGAGCTGGAAGTTTGCCGGAGGAAGTATGGTATTGGTGCATGTTGTTACAGAGTCCAGCTTCCTGGAATCCCGCCGATTCAAATAAAGCTACGTTTTATAGTTTTCTATCATAACTAATGGAATTGGCCGATTGCCAAATAGATAACCTTTTGGTTTGACTAATGATTCTAATATTTATCCTTCTAAACTCAATCTAATAAATCATTTATATTTTAATTTAACATCTTTTTTGTTTTTATTTTTTGTTGTTTTCTTTTTATTTTATTTATTATATTATTTTTATTATTTAAAAAAATTAAAACTTATTATTATTATTATTATTATTATTATTATTATTATTATTATTATTATTATTATTATCAAAATAAATTAAAACTGATTACTCGACCATTAATATTTCTATACACAACACAAAAATGAAAGAAATCCAAACTAAGCGTTGTAGATAAAGGAATTAAAGCTAAAGGTTTTGATTTAATTGGAATAATCTTTATTTTTTTTTAATAATAAAGAAACTGATTTGACATAATTTTAACTTTATACGTTATATAAACGATTCGTTCGATTCGATTCAATTCAACATTTGTTCAATTCATAACCTTTACGAAATTGTCGACCGTCATTCTTATGACAAGTTTTTAAACTAACCCGATATGTATTTTTGATGAATATTTTAGTTTATTCATAAGTTGTTATATGTTATATTTGTAGTGAAATTTTTTTAAACTGACCAAGTATATATTTATATTTGTTAGGTGTTTAGCAATCGTGAAAATTAACAGAGTGGATGCAAGAAACGATACGATCTCTTGGATATGTGGTTGTTATTAAAAGAAAAAAAGACAAAAGGAAGTGAATATGTTTCAAAAATTATTTTTATGTGTGATCGGGGTGGTGTACCTAGAGGTCCGGAGACGTCCACCAAAAATACAGGGTCAGAAAAACAAATTGTCCATTCGAAATTTTTGCTTGTTACTATAAGTCGGATGACGTTTGGAGGTTAAATGTTAAAAATGATAAACACAATCATAGGACCACCCATATGCAAGGCAAATAACCCAAAATGAATAAAAAATGGTTGAAGAAATGAAGATAAATAATGTCCACTCACGGAATATTCTATCGATACTGAAGAGTCAAAATTCCAAAAACGTTTCTACAATAAAAACAGTTTATAATGAGTGTTACAAATATCGAATGGATGAGTTTGGAGACTGTAACATTCATAAAATTCAAGCTAATTTAAAACTTTTTAAGTCATTCAAAATCCGATAATTATTACAAACATGTTTTCAAAATGGTTTCATGTTAGAGTATCCCGGAATCAAATCATAAAAAGCATAAGGAGGTGCACGATCATGCCTTCGCCTTCCCGCGATCATCATAAGTACCTGAAACAAAATCAACAACTGTAAGCCCGAAGCTTAGTGAGTTTCCTCAAAATACCAACGCCATACAATTATAATCATATCATATAAACAAACGGTATGTATAATGAGGCATTACCCTCACTGGACCGCCTCGCAGGCCTTCAGTCTATCTGGACAGCTCTCCGAGTCTTTGGCATGTCTGTACCACCTCTCAGGGCCTTCAGCATATCCGGACCGCTTGCCGGGCCTTTGGCCTGACTAATATGCCCTCCCGGGTCTGTAGTCTATCCGGTCCACCCATGGTATGTTGGCCTTCAGCACAAAGCAGGTCCGCCTCAACCCAACCCCAATTAAACAATCATGTGCACATAAATATCATACGCTAGCATGTATATAATAGTCAAACCGATCTA